GATCTGTAACTCCTCATATTGCCAACAACACGAATAAACGTTTTATGTTGACTCTGGGGCTATCTGGGAATTTTGGAAGTACAATTCTGATGCTGACGCGCAATTGTGGATTGGTAAAATTAACTCTTAGCTTTATTTTGAATGGAATTCTAAATTTATCGAATAGGTACTACTTCCAAATTTATTTACTTCCAGGACTTGAGATTTGCTTCATAGGGCGAGTTTGACGAACAATGACAGAATGTAAACAATAATGGCAATTACAATTAATTAAGGTTTTTAGTTGAGATGAAAAAAAGTCAATGGCACGAGCGGGATTCGAACCCACGATCTTCGGCTAGATACGCCGCTGTTCTACCACCTGAGCTATCGTGACCTCGATCCACTCGGACATCAACCTCCTATCTCAACCCCACCTTATGAGTTTTCCCTCCTTTTTGCCATTTTTCACTCATAAGGTGGGGTTGAGATAGGAGGTTGATGTCCGAGTGGATCGAGGTCACGATAGCTCAAGTGGTAGAACAGCGGCGTATCTAGCCGAAGAGCGTGGGTTCGAATCCCGCTCGTGCCATTGACTTTTGTTCATCTCAACTAAAAACCTTAATTAATTGTAATGATTTAATTGGTCAAGCGGACCACGAAATTAGTGAAAATAATGGCAATTTTTCAAACATTTTGCCATAACTTTGTCATTTTTTGACCGTTTTGAAATCCTATTGCACCATTGTTTTCACCGTAAAAAAACTTTTAAAATCCTGTGTCAGGATGATTAGGGTCGTATTTGAAATTTTGAAGTTGAAGTGGGCTTGAGGTAACCTGTATAATCTTTCTCCAAAAAAGGCAAAAATAGGAAACTAGACTAAAAAATATTAAACTCTTGCTTGCTCAAAGAGAATTGCTCAAAAGAAATTCTCTCGGACTACCCAAAAAGACTAGACTACACCCTGTATAAGACTACCAATGACAATTAAATTGCCAATTATTTGCGTGGTGAATAAAGGTATTGTTCTGGGGTCACTGTGCATACAATTGTATTCGTTTTTGAAAATTAAAAAAAATATTGTACACAGGAAAGGTTGAAAGAGTGAGGTAAAGGAAGAGGCAAAGGAGAATGAGAGAGAGCAAGCGAGCAAGACTGGTAGGAAGGGAGAGAGAAAAAGAGAGAGATAGAGAGAGAAGAGAGATACATAGAAAAACAAAATTGATACAAAAAGACAGATCGGAAGAACGGACGAGCAATGCAAACACTTTACATATATTTTTTCACATTATTCTCAAATAAAATTCCATGTCTAAGCCGGGATTCGATCCCCGAACCTCTAGCGTGGCAAAAACGAATCGGAAGCCTCAACCTCTCGGCCACCGTGAATATTAGAGAGGTGAATGATAGTTTAAGATAGTTAAAACAGAATGAATAGAAAAGAAATTCAGCCAAGCAATTTTTGAATGGCTAACATTCACAGTTGAGTGAATGTTAAAGAAGAGATGGAATGAGAAAAATATCTATTAAGAATGATAAATAAACAGATAAATTTACACAGACAAAATAAAAAAGAAAAAGAAAGAATAGAACAGCTAGTATGCTTTGTCTAGCACATTTTTCAGCTTCTCATTACAACTAACGAATTTGAAAAAAAAGAAGTTATTTTAGACCTCTTAATTATATGCTTACTATCTAATTTTTGTAAATTTAATAATAAATTTTATGAAATGAAAGCAAGCCTGTTAACAATCGGGCATTCTCCAATTTGTGCTAAAATAGTCAGCATTAATTTTGAAAACATCTTTTCAAATCAAATAACAAGTTAATTGAACCTGTCCTATTTTGGAAACGGTATGCAGGCGATGTATATGGTCGGGAACTTTAGATGATCTAAAAGAATTCTTCTAATTAATTAATTCTTTACACCCTAGCATAAATTTTACATTGGACATAAATAAATTGTTTAAAACTTTTAGAATTAAAACTTCCATAATAAATAACCTAATTGAAATAGTCATATATATAGAAACCCACAACTGCAGAGACTATGATTCAACCAGATTTTTTTCACCCTTTGACCCACTAAGCTGCTGGATTCATTTGTCTCAGAGAATATATGTTGAAACTCCCATTAACACCTGCTAATTATTACAAAATGGCAAAAATGAGAGGAAATTCAAAAGGTGGGGTTGAGATGGGAAGTTAGTGCCCGAGTGGATCGAGGTCAGGATAGCTCAAGTGGTAGAGCAGCGGCGTATCTAGCCGAAGATCGTGGGTTCGAATCCCGCTCGTGACTCTGACTTTTTTATCTCAACTAAAAACCTTAACTAATTGAAAGGCATTAATTGTTCTAGCGGACCACGAAAACTAGTGAATAAAAAATAATAACAAACAATTAGAACCTAAGCTAAAAACAATGGATGTCAAGAAATATTTATCGATTGTTAGTACAATAAAAAGAATAAAAGATTAAGTTTAAAAGAAGCAAGAATCGGACTCATCAAAAAATGAATCATGATTTTCATTGCTTGCCATAAATTGAGAGAGAGAGACAGACAGATAGACAGACGGAGACTAAAAAGACCATGTCCTACAAATCTAAACAATGACAAAGACAGCGAGAGAAAATAAAAAATAGAATGTTTTCTCATGGAGCTCTATCAAGTTTTGCTTACTTATTGTTGTTTAATTGCCATAAAATTTATTGTATATTTTTCACATTATTAAAAATTATTGTATTTAGGTTGACAATTTAAACACTATTCTAAAGAAATTTTAAAAATTGTATATTTGAAAAATTACTGAGAGATATATCGATGGAAAGTGAGAGGAAAATATAGGGAGATAGATAGAAAGAGAGAGAAATGTTGAATGCCATAAAGAGAGAGAGAGAGAGAGAGAGAGAGAGAGAGAGTGAGTGAGACAGACAAACAGAGACTAAAGAGATCATTTCCTACAAATCTAAACAATGACAATGACAGCGAGATTAAATAAAATAATAGAGTGTTTGTCTGCTATCAGCAGGTAGTTTCTCCAATTTATGTATTTTTTTGCTTGTTATTGTTATTTACGTGCCATAAAATTTATTGTATATTTTCCACATTTTTAAAAATTATTTTATTTCGGTTTAACATTCAAACACTATGACAAAGAAATTTGAAAAATTACAAGTAGGCATTAGGCATATCGCGAATAATAGTTGTATAGTAAGAGAAGAATATAAGGAGATAAATAGAAACAGAGAGAAATATTGAATGAGAGATAAAGAGAAAGAGCGAGAATGAAAGAGAGAGAAAGAGAGAGGAGAGAGAGAGAGAGAGAGAGAGTGTGAGACCGACAGACAGAGACTAAAGAGACCATTTCCTACAAATCTAAACAATGACAATGACAGCGAGAGTAAATAAAATAATAGAGTGTTTGTCTGCTCATGTAATTCTATCAGCAGGTAGTTTCTGCAATCTATGTATTTTTGCTTGTTTATTGTTGTTTACGTGCCATAAAATTTATTGTATATTTCCCCATTTTTAAAAATATTTTATTTCGGTTTAAGATTCAAACACTATGACAAATAAATTTGAAAAATTACAAGTAGGCATATCGAAGAATACATGGATAGTCAGAGGAAAATTTAGTGAGATAAATAGAAACAGAGAGAAATATTGAATGCGGGAGAGAGAGAGAGAAATTAGTAAGAGATAGAGTTGATTATATAGAAGAGAGAATAAAATTATAAAATTGATAGAAAAAGAGAAAGAAAGATAAACAAATAGACAGGAAAATAAATGAATCGGTGGGTAGATAGAGAGAAAAATATGAAAATGATAACGACGGTGAGAGTAAATTAAAAAAAGAGTGTTTGTCTACTCATAGAGCCTTATCAGCTGGTAGTTTCTCCAATCTACGTATGTTTTGCTTACTTCCTTGTTTGTTTACTTGCCATAAAAGTTATTGTATATTTTCCGTACTTTTAACAATTATTTTATTTAGGTTTAACATTCAAACACTATAGCGCAGAAATTTTTAAAATTGGATATTTGAAAAATTACAGATAGATATATCGAAGGAAAGTCAGAGGAAAATATAGCGGGAAAGATAGAAACAGAGAGAAATGTTGATTGCCATAAAGAGAAAGAGAGAGAGAGAGAGAGAGAGAGAGAGAGAGAGGAGAAAGAGGAGACTAAAGAAACGATGTCTTACCAGTCTAAAAAATGACAATGACAGCGACAGTAAATTAAAAAAAGACTGCTTGTCTGCTCATGGAGCTCTATCAGCAGGTAGTTTCTCCAATCTATGTACCTTTTGTTATTTTTTGTTGTTAACTTGCCATGAAATTTATCGTATATTTTCCAAATTTTTAAAACTGATTTTATTTTGGTTTAAGGAAACAGAGAACGATTTTGAATGTGAAAAGGACCAATAGAGTGAGAGAGATAAATAGATAGAGAGACTAAAGAGACGATATCATAAAGATCTAAATAACGACACTGACAGCGAGAGTAAATAAAAATATCGTAATATGTGTAGAGTGTCTGTCAGTAACTTGTTTCTCGATTCCATGCACCTTTTGCTTATTTTTTGTTGTTAACTTACCATAAGATTTAATGTTGATTTTCCATATTGTTAAAAATAATTTTGTTTCCGTTTAACGTTCAATCACTGCAGTAGATAACATTGGGAAATTTAGAAAAAAATTACTTGCGATACGAAGACATTGAATGCAAAATAAATAAAAGTTAATTTTTATAAATAATACATATCATCTTTGAAGTATTAGATGATATGGAATATAGTAAAAAAGTACTTTTTGTTTTTATTTGTGTTTGATAAATATAAAAAAAATATCATGTTTAAAAATCAAAGTTAATAAAGCATAATCCGTTGGATTTACCAGTCGTCCAATTTCACAGTCTTTCAACAAAAGGAGTCGATTTGTCAATAGGCTACGCTTTCAAAATTAAGAAAAAAAAATCCTCTCTTCAATTTCCTTAGCCGATGGTTGAATATTCTCGTCACTTACTGTTAAATTCATAATGGAGACGACGATGCGATATCACGTGCACTAGAAGGTACTCACAGATATGCGGGGAGGTGGGCTCCGGATGGTTATATACCTCGGGAGACGTCGAGGGTGGTAGAGGGGCGTCGCGGGCGGAGAGGGGAGCCTCCGGGGCAAAACAATTATTAATGATATAACAACAAATATTGTAAGAAAAATAATTTTTCGATTCATTTGCGCCTCCTTGGTGGAAGCAGTTGTTGCTTTTCTATATGTACGTACTAAACACAAAGCGCTTTTTTTGAGAATGAATTTCCTTAGACAATTTTCGATTCATAATTTTTAAATTCCACATTAAAAAACCCCAATTTTTAAAAATTATCATTCAACCAAACATACCACATATGCTCACATTCTCCAACTGCAATCAGTGTAAAGCTAAAAAATTCCATTATTCTGACATGCTTTAGATCTTATTCCACCATCAAATTGGAAATTCACTATGGCTAAAGTTTTTTCACTAATTTTTAGTACTGTAAGTAAATTGTGATATTTTTTCACTTGTGAAATATAAATAATAGTTTTAAATTCTTGTCGAAGGGGATGTAATATGCATTACTCGAAATCTTGACGTAGAAACTAAGTGTTTTTCGTTTCTTTCAAATTAGCTATACCCATGTAAGTTTTTAATGGAAAGCTATAAAAGTAAAAGAAAAAAGAGAATATATNTAATTAATGGGGAGAGAGAGAGAGAGAGAGAGAGAGAGAGAGAGAGAGAGAGAGAGAGAGAGAGAGAGAGAGAGAAAGAAAGAGAGAGAGAGAGAGAGAGAGGGGAAGGGAGAGAGAGATATAGGGAGAAATGGAGAGAGGGTGAGGTAGGGAGAGGGAGAGATAGAGGAGAGAAAGAGGGAGTGAGAAAATTATTCCGGAGAAAAAATAGTTTGGAATACAGAAAATGAAAAATATTGCGGAAATGAGTTTAAAGTTCGTACATAGAGGAAAAGAACTAACTTTGCCAATATAAATGCAGAAACAGAAATGAATAATGTAGACCAGAAGAATGGAGAAAAAAGAAAGAAGAAAAGAGAAAATATGGAGTCGAATTTGATGCTGAATTTGACACTTAAATTTATGGTAATTGTGTTACCTTTTTTGAACATCACCATCGATCTCAATAAAAAAATCAATGAATGAAAATAAAATGGTGCTAAATAATTTTGTTAAAGTAAAATGCAATGTAATTTTTTCACTTGGTTTCAATAAGAAAGAACAATAACAAAAAAAAAAAAATTGCAATAGACCAGTATTTAATCAACGACTTGGTTTGATGTTTAAAAAAACAAATAATTAACGTAGTAAAAATCAAAGTTGTCTTTGTAACAAGTTTGGAATTTATTTTACCGGAAATTCAGTGTTGATTTTGTTTGTCAAAGTTCCTTCGGTTGCAAAAGGACAAAATATGCGTAAGGGGGCCTTCATCAAACTGTAACTCATGACTTACAGATGAGGCAACTTGAAAGGTATTGATGTTAAGTTACCTTATAACTTCAAGTTTATTTAAACTTTCAATTGAAGTGCAGGTTATATATAAAATTAATTCAAGTTCAAAGATAGTATGGAAAATATGATTTCAAAAAAATCCTTGGATAGATGAAAGTCTTACCTAAGCCCTGAAATTTCATGATTGACCAAAAAACAAGTTTTTTCTTTCCTTAGGCAAATATTTATTTATAATTATTCCGTTATATCCAATTAAGGCGTAGAGAGGAAGTTGGTTAAATATAAAATAATATGTAATTAAAGCAAACATAAAATAACAATTATGATGATTCATCACAATGATGAAATACAAATAACTATTAATAAATGTATGTAAAATATGTGTATAATAAAGTAGCAATAAAAAAATATAACGATAAATCAACTAAATTTTAACCTGTGGGGAAGCCCAATAATCTGTAACTTTCTACACAAAACATAAAATTGTCAGTTATTTTGTTTTTCAAGTCAGCAGAATTTAAGTCTAGTAATAATATTGCTTTTTTTAAGTCCGAATGCAAGAAATATTTTGGTCCAAAAAAGTCCAAACAAGGTAGTTAATTAAAAAAGTTTATTAAGTCAATATGAGCCTGAGAGGTACATAAAAAACACATTTGGTCGAAATTGAAGTCAAATTTTTTTTTGTTCAAATAAATACTGCAAATTTTTTTTTTTGCATTGAGTCTTAATTTGTTAATTTCAATATTAATACTAAAATATGGCTCATTTAAATTAAAGTCACATGTACAATGATAGCAGGTAATTTAAATAAAAAAAAAAGTAGTTATTTGCCATGTATTTATTACGTAAATTTAACTTTCCTTGAAATTTTTTGCTGGAAGAAGTTGTTAACAAAAAGTCGTCAGCGTACATCAATAAATTTAAAACTTTAGCCCTAAATAATGGTAATGTAGTTAGCAAAAATGTGTGCGAAGTCGTACAAGAATAGTAAAAATAAAAGGGGGCTTAAAACGTCGCCCTATAAAACCATCCATATACCGGAATTTGGGAGGAATAGGATTCTCCGTCTAGGAACATGACAGCATTATGCAAAACCCAAATGATCTGTAGGAATTCTAATTCCAAAATTATAAAATTTGTACCATATTTTAGTATGGTTGACACTATCAAATGCTCTTTCTAAATCGATAAAGACAGCATAATATTTTCTATGTTTTAGGCCCACATAACATTTAACTATTCCTGATATAAAAATTTTATTACGACCTTTTTCTTAGCGCAAATGACCTGATAATTTGTTTTAAAATTTATGATTAGGTTTACTACATATTGCCACTTATAGCGTAAGAACAATAATTAAGAATAAGCTTGAAAATTTAAAAATAATAAAATAAACCTATCTTGAAAAGCTTAATCACAATTTGATAATACGAGTTTTATCGTGTTTTAAATTGAATCGATGATAAACGTTTTTGTAATTGTGTTGAAATTAATTAAAAAACAATTACGATTGTTATCTTTTAAATTTTAAGAAATTTAGTGAGTAATTTTTGCTTTTATAAATTGTCCAAAATTTTGGAATATGTTCGATTGGCGAGTTTATTTTTTGACGGAGGTTCAAAAATTTGTTATCACCACTAGTTCAGATAGAACGGTTTTCGATTTTGCGGTACGGCTTATCCAATGCCCCCCGGGGGACTTGATCTCCCGGGGGAAAGGGACTCCAAGTTCCCAGCGGTCCACTCCCTCGGCTTAGCCTTCAACTTCCTACAGGGTTTATCCTGTAAAGCGAAAATTATTAATTCAACGCATAAACATAAACTGGGACCCTTTCAATAAAAAATGTACGAGCAAATATTTGACAGTTCGTATTTGAAGTGAAAAGAGCGAAAATAAAATAAACAAGCACATGAAGTAACACGCAATAAAAAGTTTCAACTCTGTTTTCAATTAATTATGACTTAATATTTGCCTAATTGTTCTTGAAAGCTTGCAAATAATTAGAATTGCAAATAATTATAACACTCATCGTACAGTCCTGATGTCACCATTCATTAAATCAAGATTGTGTTAAAACATCGCATAATTGCACTTACTAACAAGAAACATAAATTAGAATTTCAAATTAATTATTCTTTTGATCTAAGGTCTTGGTTAAGACGAAAAACTTAGTGTCACGGGCGGGATTCGAACCCACGACCTTCGGCTCAATACGATCAATTGTTTAGAGGAGCGGCGTATTGGACCGAAGGTCGTGGGTTCGAATCCCGCTCTTGACCCTAACTTTTTTTTTCAACCAAGACCTTAGATAAAAAGAATAATGAATTGAAAAAATTAAGTGGTCAATTTTGACATCATATATGTATAAATTAGAATAGCAACAACATTAATAAAAACAATAACATAATTAAAATTGTTGATTTGCAACCATTTCCACCATCATCGCACTCAATAACGACTACATCGAACTCTTGTTTTTTGCCTTAGTCCTAAAAACCTCATCATTATCACAATAATTATAATATTATTAATTACATCTATTATCGTTAATGACAACATCTACAGTCAAAACCAAATATCAACAACCAAAGACCCACTACGTTAGATGATGTAAAACCAACCATCTGATGTAGAAAGGATGACCGAAATCATCTGAATCGACCTAACTACAAGTTCATTACATTACAGACCCAAAGAGGAAACCTTACAGTAGCTAATATTGTCATCATCATCACGAATAGGACTAAATGAACAACCATTACGTTAAGATATCTCACTGCGGTCTGCCGGGTGATGAAGATGTAATTTGGTCGTTACCGACCCTCCTGGTCCTTCTCGCTTCATTGGTCTGTCAAACACACTCAGCTAATCCTCACGACCTTTTAAAAGAAACGATTTTACAAAAATTACACACTGAAGATTGTGAAATGCCGAAATGCTCCTCATATACTAGGATGGTCAATCTGAAGTTAAAATTTTGTAGTTTTTTTTACAAATAATCTAAGATTTATGCAATTAGTGGTTAAGATTTAAAAAAGTGGTTTGTTCAACGTGGATTTGGGCCGTCTTCGTCGACCAATGGCAACATCTTCTATCGCAGATGGTGAACAACTGGTCTCGACCACAAGGACGTCTCAACCCTCTAAGAATATTTGCCGGGAGTTGGGTTAAGAGTGAAAAGGTCAATAATGAGCAATGAAATGATAATATGAGTAGAATTGGAGGTATCGGAATCAGTAAATAAGGAATTTTGAGGTCTGAGTTGAAAATATTATTACTAACAAATCAATCGGTGATCGGATTGGATATGATTGATGCTTTACCCTTCCTGTACTGTTCGATCCTTAAGTCCTTCTCCCCTCTGGTGTGGAATGTGATAATGGACGACCTCATATGCAAACTAAATGAAATCGGAATTTACACCCAAGGCTACGCAGATGATATTGCCATACCAGTCAGGGGAAAATTCGATTCAACATTTGGGTTCTAGCATACTCGGTCATCCTAAAAAGGACTCTGAGGATCTTTAACGTCCCCACCTAGCTTATTCGGCCGTATCGGACGTTTTGATTCT